ACATCTGAATTACGAGAAAAAGTCAGTATTGCAGAAAAGAACTGTGGGGAAAAAAAAGTCAGAATTGCGGAAAAAAAGTCAGAATTATGAGAAAACCGTCTGAATTACGAGAAAAAGTCAGAATTGCGGAAAAAAAAGTCAGAATTGTGAGAGAAAAGTCAGAATTATGAGAAAGACGTCTGAATTACGAGAAAAGGTCAGAATTGCAGAAAAAGTCATAATTGTGAGAAAAAAGTCAGAATTATGAGAAAGACGTCTGAATTACGAGAAAAGGTCAGAATTGCAGAAAAAGTCATAATTGTGAGAAAAAAGTCAGAATTATGAGAAAGATGTCTGAATTGCGGAAAAAGTCAGAATTGCGGAAAAAAAAGTCAGAATTGCGGAAAAAGTCAGAATTGCAGAAAAAGTCAGAATTGTGGAAAAAAACAGTCAGAATTGCGGAAAAAAAGTCAGAATTACGGAAAAAGTCAGAATTGCAGAAAAAAAGTCAGAATTGCGAGAAAAAGTCAGAATTGCGAGAAAAAGTCAGAATTGCGAGAAAAAGTCAGAATTGTGAGAAAAAAGTCAGAGTTATGAGAAAGACGTCTGAATAGCGGAAAAAGTCAGAATTGCGAGAAAAAGTCAGAATTGCGGAAAAAAAGTCAGAATTATGAGAAAGACGTCTGAATTACGAGAAAAGGTCAGAATTGCAGAAAAAGTCAGAATTGTGGAAAAAAAAAAGTCAGAATTGCGAGAAAAAGTCAGAATTGTGAGAAAAAAGTCAGAATTATGAGAAAGACGTCTGAATAGCGGAAAAAGTCAGAATTGCGGAAAAAAAGTCAGAATTGCGAGAAAAAGTCAGAACTGTGAGAAAAAAGTCAGAATTATGAGAAAGACGTCTGAATTGCGGAAAAAGTCAGAATTGCGGGAAAAAAAGTCAGAATTGCAGAAAAAAAAGTCAGAATTGCAGAAAAAGTCAGAATTGCGGAAAAAAAGTCAAAATTGTGAGAAAAAGTCAGAATTGTGGAAAAAAGTCAGAATTACAAGAAAAATGTCTGAATTACGAGAAAAAGTCAGAATTGCGGAAAAAAGTCAAAATTGCGAGAAAAAGTCAGAATTGTGGAAAAAAAGTCAGAATTGCGGAAAAAGTCAGAATTGCGGAAAAAAAGTCAGAATTGCGAGAAAAAGTCAGAATTGTGAGAAAAAAGTCAGAATTATGAGAAAGACGTCTGAATAGCAGAAAAAGTCAGAATTGCGAGAAAAAGTCAGAATTGCCGAAAAAGTCAGAATTGCGGAAAAAAGTCAGAATTATGAGAAAAACGTCTGAATTACGAGAAAAAGTCAGAATTGCGGAAAAAAAGTCAAAATTTGTGAGAGAAAAGTCAGAATTATGAGAAAGACGTCTGAATTACGAGAAAAGGTCAGAATTGCAGAAAAAGTCATAATTGCGAGAAAAAGTCAGAATTGCGAGAAAAAAAGTCAGAATTGCGAGAAAAAGTCAGAATTGTGAGAAAAAAGTCAGAATTATGAGAAAGACGTCTGAATAGCAGAAAAAGTCAGAATTGCGAGAAAAAGTCAGAATTGCCGAAAAAGTCAGAATTGCGGAAAAAAAGTCAAAATTGCGAGAAAAAGTCAGAATTGTGGAAAAAAGTCAGAATTATGAGAAAAACGTCTGAATTACGAGAAAAAGTCAGAATTGCGGGGAAAAAAAGTCAAAATTGCGGAAAAAAAGTCAAAATTGCGAGAAAAAGTCAGAATTGTGGAAAAAAAGGCCGAATTGTGGAAAAAAAGTCAGAATTGCGGAAAAAAAGTCAGAATTGCGGAAAAAAAGTCAGAATTGTGAGAAAAAGTCAGAATTGTGAGGAAAAAAGTCAGAATTGCAGAAAAAATGTCTGAATTACGAGAAAAAGTCAGAATTGCAGAAAAAGTCAGAATTGTGGAAAAAAAAAGTCAGAATTGCGAGAAAAAAGTCAGAATTATGAGAAAGACATCTGAATTACGAGAAAAAGTCAGAATTGCAGAAAAAGTCAGAATTGTGGAAAAAGTCAGAATTGCGGAAAAAAAGTCAGAATTGCGGAAAAAAAGTCAGAATTGTGAGAAAAAAGTCAGAATTATGAGAAAGACATCTGAATTGCGTGAAAAAAAAGTCAGAATTGCGGAAAAAAAAGTCAGAATTGCGATAAAAAAGTCAGAATTGCAGAAAAAGTCAGAATTGTGGAAAAAAAAAGTCAGAATTGCGGAAAAAAAGTCAGAATGATGAGAAAACCGTCTGAATTACGAGAAAAAGTCAGAATTGCAGAAAAAAAAAGTCAGAATTGCGAGAAAAAAGTCAGAATTATGAGAAAGATGTCTGAATTACGAGAAAAGGTCAGAATTGCAGAAAAAGTCAGAATTGTGGAAAAAAAAGTCAGAATTGCTAGAAAAAAGTCAGAATTGCGGAAAAAGTCAGAATTGCGAGAAAAAGTCAGAATTATGAGAAAGACGTCTGAATTGCGGAAAAAGTCAGAATTGCGGGAAAAAAAAGTCAGAATTGCAGAAAAAGTCAGAATTGCGGAAAAAAAGTCAAAATTGCGAGAAAAAGTCAGAATTGTGGAAAAAAGTCAGAATTATGAGAAAAACGTCTGAA